CCAAAAACTCTCAAAAAATCAAAAAAAAAAAAAAAATTAAAAAAATGCAGCTCCTAATAAATTAAAATAAAAGAAAATAATAATAGTCAAAATATATATGTATATACATATAAACCAGCTCAGAAAAACAGATTTAAATCCATTTTATATGGGCTCGGCTAACAAGTAAATAGGACGTTTGCATGATGGCGTCATTTGACTCCCACTACCAAGATGCTTCGCGAATTTTCTTTCTTATTTAAATTTGTATTCCCTCATGAGAACAGTAAGGCAATTGGTGCTGATTAACTGAACAAAAGAAAGTGTGCAAGGGAGTCTGGTAGTAGAGGTCAATGACGCCATCAGGCAAACGTCCTATTGAGGCAGGCATACTCGGCGCTACCCTTGCGCGCAACGAGATTTTAGAGTTATGTCACACCTAGCAAGTTTGGCGGCAACAAAACTACAAATTAAATAAAGTTATTCAATCCTAGTCAGCGATTTGAACAAAAATTACTAAATTGCATTAATGTAACCAGTTGCGCAAAATGTTGAAGAGGTAAAAATCGATTCTATTTCTTTAACGTTGCGCGCCTACAAGAGCTTTCTTCCGTGCTCCATTCATTAGTACAGCACACAGGTTTATTTATCAGTTTTTACGGGATATCAAGGGGATATCAAGGGTTTGAATGGCTTACCACATCAGCACCGTGTTTGTTTGTAGCGTAGACCAGGACACCATGGGCTGCCTCGGGCTGCTGTAATTTATTGTTAATGCTAAACAAAGAAAGAAACTTATATTCTTAATAAATCCTTTAGCAATGAGTTGTCTGTTAGTGTTGATAATCATGATGATGACGACAGCGTGGGTGTTAAATTACATGTCAGTTACATTGACGCAGATGATATGGATGATTGGGATATTTTTAGTTGATGAATTCATTGATGATGATGATGATTATGATGATGATGGTGATGATGATGATAGATGATGATGATGATAGATGATGATGATGATAGATGATGATGATGATGATAGCTTGAATTTTTACATGTCAGTTACATTGACGCTGATGATTTGGATGATTGGGATATTTCTAGTTGATGAATGATAGATGATTATGATGATGATGATAATAATGAAGTTACTGATAATAATGAGGAATGGTAATAATGATGAGGCAGCTACTGTTGCTGCTACTGCTGATGATGATTCTTCATTGCATATTCGTTTTCTATATCCAACATACCTGATTAGAGCTTCAAGCGTTTCAGTTGTGGGCATTTTATGAAATTCGTCTTCTTTGTAATGCAATGCTTTAGCATATGCTCGACATTTTGAAGCTTGTTCACCAAGAAGATCACTGTTTAGTGGTAGAGCTCCCTTAAAAAAAAAACAGGCGAAATATTCAATATTTTAAATTGCTTTAACCATCAGTGGCGAATCAAGTCAGACAGTAATAATAATAATAATAATAATAATAATATTCACTAATAATAATGATAATATTCAATAATAATAATAATAATGTTCAATAATAATAATAATAATTAATAATAGTAATAATAGTAATAATAATAATAATAATATGTTGGAGGGGCGAGCGTGCAGGTTTTGATGCTAGGATTCCCGCCAAATCCACACCTCTACGTTGGGCGTAATGTTTTCCCATTTCAGACCACGTGTCATTCTCTTGAGAGTAAGATTCTTAGTTCGATTTGTATCCATATTCATGGGTCTTCTCATGCGCAACCGTTAAACAAATAAATGATACTCTAGGTTCGGCTATAATGAAATCTATATATTCTTTAAAGAGATCTTTTTGACATCTTGTGAGGGACTACTACCTTGTCTGTGTGTTCAAGGAACTCCGCCAGGTTTAACAGTGTTTGTGTTATCTCTGGGATCTGACTTTTTAGGGCCAGTTCTAGGTTACGCACGAGTTCGTTCTGTGGGTTCAAGACAAAGATAATGTGATTAATTGACTATTGGTCATGATCACTCCTATCATTATTTATCAGCATCATCACTATCATTCCTAATTATCATTATCATCCTTATTATCAACACCACCATCAACAGCAACAGCAATAACTTCATTACCATCATCATCATCACTATCATCACCATCACCTTCATTACAAATACCATCACCATCATCATTACATCTCCGTCACCATCATCATCACTATCATCACCGTCACCATATCATCATACCATCATAATCATCACTATCATTATCACCATCATCGCCATCGCCATCGCCATCGCCATCGCCATCGCCATCGCCGTGTACTAACCTGTAGTTCTTCGGGCAGTTCTGACCAACAAGATACAAACGCGGCATTGAAGAGATCCCTAGAATAACACAAATATTTGTATCACTACACAGGAACCATAAGGAAGATGTGTCATACCGTGTACGCTCTGTAAGCAAGTACACGCTTCCCTACTCATACTTGTACTAAAATAGACCCTTTTCGAGTTTCAAATTACCGCTGTGTTTCTTGATTGCAGACTCGTTACTCTGGCTTAGCCTCGAATCAGTGTCAAAATATTCACAAATGCCAACAGTAAATTAAAGTACGTACCACTTCAACAATACGAACAATTTGAAATTCCACGGACCTTGATTGGAACACGTGAATATTCTGCACAAAGTGGAGGCTAAGTAATCGTGAGGAACAGAGAACTCGAAACTAGAGTATTGCCATATTAGTCGAGTTTTTCTGACCTTGCTAAGGGAGGGTAGGTCTGTGCAGTGGCCCAACAGGATCTCAGTGCAGGAGATGGTGATTCTTTGAGTAATTCAACACTCAGTCGTCTGAGCCACTCCATCCAGTCATCTTTAGACACACATCTTGCTGCATCCCAGGCCTGAAGATAAACAAGAACAAGATATAACCATGCTTCATATGTAGATGTCTAACAAACTAGGGTACAACGACAACGACAATAAGAAAGCAACAACAACAGCAACAGTGACAACAAAAAACAACAATGACGAAACAAACAACAAACAACAATAACAACAGCAGCAACAACA